TGTCAGTTCGAGGTTGCCATTGGCTTGTGGTATACCGAGGTACTTGTAGCTGTCCTCAATGTCTGCTATTGTTCCTTCAGGGAGTGAGACCCCTTCAGTGTGGATTACCTTACCTCTCTTTGTCACCATCCGACAACATTTCTTGAGCCCGAATGACATCCCGATATCACTGCTGTAGATCCTGGTTGTGTGGATCAGGGAGTCTATGTCCCTTTCACTCTTAGCATACAGCTTTATGTCATCCATGTAGAGGAGGTGACTGATCATAGCTCCATTTCTGAGGCGGTATACATAGCCTGTCTTGGCGATTACTTGGCTTCGGGGGTTCAGTCCGATGCAGAACAGCAGTGGGCATTGCTGCCTCGCTCAGCATTTCATTCATTGGGGCTGGCCTCCCAATCTCATCATCTGCATTCATTGGGGCTTGCCTCCCAATCTCTGGTCTGACCTCCGCCTCTGATCTGGCAGCCTGGAACCTGCGTTGTACCTCATCAATCTCAAGTTGTGACAGTAATTGCCGTTTGTGGATGTTGGAACATTGAGCTAGTAGTTGTTTCGTGGTCAACCGTGACTGTGGGTTTCGAAGTAACCATTTAGCCCTCATTCTCTGCATGTAACCCCTCTGACTAGGGTTGCTTGAGTAGTAGCATTCCAACAGAGCCATGTTATCGCATCTCGCCCATCTCCGCTTTGTTCCAGTAGCCCATTTTTCATCAAGCTGGTTCCCCCCAGCACCTGACGCAGACTTTGTTTGGCCGGGCGCCGTCTGGCCATGTCATTCGTTTTATTGTCTCTCATCATTGTATGAGGTAGGCATTAGCGTGAAGGGTCTTGCCCAAGGACCCACACTGGATGGTGTTATGTGCTAATTTTTTTGCCCCAAGCGGGATTCGAACCCCCGTCTCCCGCATGCCGAACCTGTGCCTATATATATATGGAAATATATATTTCCATATATATATTTCAAACATTTTTGAAGAAGCTCTAGGGAGCCACTGGGGGGGGCGCTAAAGAGCGGCATACAGCTCGAGAGCCGCGTGTTAGACCCCCGGACTAGATGGATCGCGAGCCGCGTGTTCGACCCCCAGACTAGATGGTTCGCACAGAGTTCTTCTGACCCTGGAACTCCCGCGACCAGGACCTCAGAGTTCTTGGGCTTCTTGGTCTGAAAGCCACAACTCTTTTAGTGGTACCATATTTTCCTCCCAAATGGTTTGTTCACAACACACTGGTCTTCTGGTGCGGGTTTTAGAGCATTTTCTATCATTGCGCCAGTGCTCTGGAATGCCCGACCAACGGAATTTAGAGCAGCTATTTCAGTAGAAATGTTTTAAAACTGAACTTATTTATATAGGCTTGCATTTTGTTGAACTACATGTAGGCCTGTTTGACTACCCCTTCTTCTCTTTCTCTTGCCCCATCCTTGGAGGGCGGGGTGACCAAATTGGATGCTGCTTGACAGATTCTGCACCGACTGACTGGGACAATTATCTGAGGTGGGCCACCTCTTTGGAAGTGCTATTCTAGAGATTTCCACAATGACCAACCAGACCGCGCTTTGATAAGGACCCACTTCTCGGAAGGTGTCTTCTTGTAGCACTGCATCTTATTAGATGGACTCTCACATTATTCTAATTGACATGGTGTAGTACCACATTATGTGTTAATTGCTGCCCATTCTGCATCCATTGCGGCCTGGTCATCCCGGTCTGCGGCCCTGTCTCAAGATGTATTTTTCCCCAGATGTTTTTTCTCCCCCCTTGCCCTCCTGTGGGGTTAAGATCAGGGGATGCCATTAATATTTGTCGACTGTGGGCCTGTGAAGCCTTTTGTGAATCTTTTGTGATTAAAAGCTAGAAAAATAAATTTGACTTGACCTGACTCGTCAGAGTGAAACACAGTACAGCAGTGACAGTTGATAGAGAAATCTACGAGCAAAATTATATCATGTTTAAAGTTTCATTTAATTTGGGCATGTCTAGATGTTCTGGAATGTATTCAGCACCCCAAATGTCTGTGCGCAAAGGTGTCGGCTGTTTCAGGCAGAGGGCTTTTTGAAGTCCACAGTGATCACTCCACCGCACCAGACACTTTAAAGCACTCAAGGACAATTGCACACTTCTTGTACTACAAATACTGCGACTGGTCACTTTAAAATGGTTCAATGATTTTCTGCACTAACTGTACAACAGTTATAGTATTGTATTCTACTACTGATCACTTTAGCTCTGCTTGATACTTTGCACATTGTCTCGCAGTTGTCACTGGGTGGTACCACCGCACTACGGTTCACTTACATTACGGAATGTCCTTCCATACTTATTTTTCCATACTTATATGTCATGTCCTTATTTATGATGATACAAATGCAGCGTGTTATACCGGAGACAAATTCCTTGTGTGTTCTACATACTTGGCCAATAAAGATGATTCTGATTCTGACATTAAAACAAGGGTGCGAACAGATGTAAGGAGGCTAGACTCGGCTTGGAAGTGGGAGTAAACAGTTCAGGAACGAAGTGTTTTAGAACATCAAAAGGCGGTTTTGGAACTGGTAATAAGTGTCGCGCCCAGGCAAACATTTGTCATCTGCGAAGTCTGCTATTTGCTTCTTCGTGGCAGACCAGACATGAAGGTGTCAGTGTATTTGTGGTTCAAAGTTTGACAAAAGTAATCAAATCACCGCCAAGGGGCCGGACTGGGGCCGTGGTATGCAATTATCGGGGGCAGTGTTTTTCTTGTATTTTGCAGATGTAAACAATAAAAGTTCGACAATGCGCACGAGGAGCTTTGAGTGTGATTTGCAGAGCAACTGCCATCGTTTGCTCTGGGAAATCGTGCTTCCGCCGACTGCAAAGACAATCTTCCCCGTGTGTCGAGTCCTTTGTTTAACTTTGTCCGGGTAAAACCCTGACAACAGTACAGCTTGCATGTGAACTATGTGGAGTCCTCAAATCATCAATGGGTTGTGCAAGCACCTGAAATATGCAGTATGATGGGGGGGGGGGGGTCGAATACAACTACAAAGAAATAAGTTGGTCCTGTGAATTTTCATGCAAATTCCACCGACCAAAAAGATATATATGCTTTTCACACAAAAAGGAATAACAAGACTGGGAATGAAAAAGCAGAGAAAATGGCAGTAAACCAGAACATACTAGGTTGTTCAAACATTACATTTACTTACACAGCAAACCAGCACAACCAAGTGTTGAAGATTAACATTCATGATAATAACAATAATAATAATAACACAGAAAATGCTCAACTTAAAAAGTGATCCGATGGGGGTGGACAAAAAAGTGCTCAGTATTGATCGTGTTAAAAATAATATCAATAATCATTTAGTGATGAGAGATAATAGTTAATGGTTTTCTACACTTGAACAGAAACCACTTCAGTCAAAACCTCACTTGGGTCCATCACTGACGGATACAATGTACATTAGAGCAGCGGTCCCCAACCCCCGGGCCGCGGACCGGTACTGGTGATAAGTTACATTACAACAACTTACTTTTTATTTCTTTCGAAATCTGAAAGCTGTTTTATTTTGAAAATATAGCGTCACTCTTGACGCAGGTCAAGGCGCAATTCTCGGTCACGTGATAGGTTACTGCTAACATGAAACCCAGGAGCTAGCAAAATGAGTAAAAAACAAACGTCTTTGGAAAGTTTCTTTGGGAAGGGGAAAAGGCCAAGCCAGGAGACAGAAGAGCAGCCTATGATTTTCAAGAAAAAAGAAGGCTACATTCAATAGACAGTATCAGGAGTCCTACTTAAAATACGGATTTATCTCAACGGGACATTCCCACGGCACCAAGCCCACACTGCATGATATGCGGCGATGCGGTGTCGTATTTTTCATGCACTTTTTATTTTTGGCGTGTCTTATTTTGAAGTCACGTTTAAACTAGAGCTGTCAGTTTAGCGCGTTTTTATTGGCATTAATTTAAATGAATTTTAATGGGATTAAATTATTTCTCGCGACATTAACGCGGCAGATGTCACAGCGGATGTTACGTTGCTCTATAAATAAACCAGAAACAAAACAACAAGTGCGCTGCACATGTCCACGCACATTTGTTTTGCCAGCCACAGCAGCGCGAGACACCGAAAACGGATACTTTAAGAGTTTATGAATGGAAAGTTTACTTTTAAAAAGTTGCCAGATTGTTCCACTGACAAGACCAAAGTTACCTGTATGTTTTGCAGTCGTAAACTGAGCTATCATCATAGCACCTCGAGTCTGAAGTACCACTGAAAGGCCAAGCACACAGCTGACGTGAGTACTCCGCCCTCTCATCTCAGACAGACAGCTATGGATAATTTCAAAGCG